CGAAAGCACATAAAAGAATGGTCAAAGGATTCGAACCTGATTTCACGACAAATAGGGGAATTAATGCGTATGTATACCCCTAAACCTAGCATGTGACTATTGGAGTCTTTACGAATCAAAGGATAGTACCCATCAACACTGACATCTGAAGAAGGAATTGCAGAACTTAAATTTGTTTCACTGAGTGCAAGCAAGTCTGGTGAATTTTGCAGGAGGTAAGACTCAACTGATGGAAAGTTGCTTCGTAGACCGCGAATATTTGTAAAAGATATATTAAAATATTTAGGTGATGGGGATGGTTTTTTAGGTTTTAAATTTTTGGTTACTTTGGTCATGATTTGGGTTTAATGAGAACTTGACTCATTCATAGATAGAGCACAGCCTCCTAATCAATGAGCTATGCAGTTGTCTCAGTCCTGTTAATTAACCCTAAGCCGTGACATAGGGCTCCTTATGTGGCCTTGACAATGCACACCAAAAGCATTAACAGGGACACCATCCATGCGCAACATGGCACTGTTAATACTCTGATATTTTGCAGCTGTTGATGGAATCAGCCTCTCTGAGAGCTACCACAGAGTTCAGGAAACCTTACTACCAGCCGGCCTCAGAACCATTAAACTGAGTTTTAGAGCTGTACCCTCATATGGAGATAACAAGAAGAGGTGCATAGCCATTATCAAGGAGGCATAAGCAAAATTCTATGAGTAGAGTCAAGGAGATCCAGCATTCATCATCCTAGGCAGGAAACAATGTAACACAGGTTACATCTACGCCAGCCTAATAGATGAAGAAGGGGTTCGAGGCTGGTTAGCAGAACTTTTCTGCTTACCCCTAAAGTCTTTGCCTAGGAGGCCTTCTACAAGACAGTAGCAGGATGCAGTTAACATCTGCCCAAGATGAGTATTTTTATCGAGACACTATCTCTAGCCTTTACTCAACCAAGAGCCCCAAGGCAGGGGATGTTTAGCTGGATGCAGTTAACATCTGCCCAAGATGAGTGTTTTTATCGAGACACCATCTCTAGCCTTTACTCAACCAAGAGCCCCAAGGCAGGGGAATTTTAAGTCAGAGTTTATTTCTCCTAGCCTTTGCTTAAGAAGAGCACACTCTGCAAGGCAGCAGGGCTTGTGGCAGGTGGTACTGGGTTACGTGATACCAGTAGCAAGATTGATCTCGATTATCCTGACCTGACCTGGAGTAGTTAAAGGGAGTTACTTCCCGCAACAGTACTTTGAGAAAACCAGGCATGACATTTTGGAAGTGCATTAGGAAAAACACTGCATCTAACAAAATACAGGAGTCTAAGGTGAGTGAACGTTTTGTAGTTGGAGTAAGTAGTTAGTTACTGAGCTCACGCTGCATTAAAGTATAAGCAGAACACAAACAAACATAAATCAACTTACGGGTGAGTCAACACCGCGCCAGAGGTTCAGACAGAACACAAACATATATAAAAAACATAAAGTAACTTACGGGTGAGCGAACACCGCGCCAGAGGTTCAGACAGAACACAAACATACATAAAAAAAACATAAAAAACATAAACATAAACATAAAGTAACTTACGGGTGAGCGAACACCGCGCCAGAGGTTCAGACAGAACACAGACATACATAAAGAACATATAGTAACTTACGGGTGAGCGAACACCGCGCCAGAGGTTCAGACAGAACACAAAGATACATATAACGTAGATTACAGGTGAGCTAATACAGTAACTAAGGCACCTCCAGCTATATGGGGAAAAAAAAAAAAAAAAAAAAAAAAAAATTACTACAGGCATGACTGATATAAGATAGTACTGATGACAGGAAGAACACTCCTTCCAGCCTTTGCTTAGATAGCAAATCCTGCAAGGCAGCAGAACATGGAACAGGTTGCACTGGGTTACATGTTACCAGTAGCAGGATGATCATGAAGACCATACTCCTGACCTGACAAAGAGTCAGGTCAGGATTAGGCTAAGGATTAAGGCGAAGGTCAAGGATTAGGCGAAGGTCAGGTCAAGGCGACAAGGCGAAGGTCAAGGATTAGGCGAAGCAAAAGTAGGTTTTCCAAACTCAAAATGATTAGAGCAAACCACTTTATTATCAGAAACTGTGAAATTTATTAAACCTTTTTTAACTTGATTTACCCAATGATGTCTTTTCAAAAAATCTTTAGGAAAGTAGTGAAGTTTTAGCTCTGTTACTTGAGTTCTTTTAAATAACCTATCCGGATACCTGGAGTTGTTATTACAATCAGCAACACAGCAGCGGTAGTTTGGCATTTAAAAGTTATATTTTATTTGAATACTAGCAAATAAAAAAAAAGCTGAAAATCTGCAGCTTTCCTTCACTAAATCAAACTAACTTTGTTTCACAACTGCGAAAAGGTCTATTTCAACAGAATAACATAGTCAGTTGAAAAAAAGGTCATTTAGCTATAACTAACATAGAATCTGGTTCTTTAAAAAGTGGAAGGTTCACTGTGCTCATAGTGTTTGAGGCATCTTTTCTCAAGTAAAAAAAATATCTGCTTAGAACTTCATTCAAAAGGCAGATACAAATCACAAATCAATTTAAAATCTGATATAGCCAAAATAGTCAACTTTTCAAGTAAAGAGTGGAAAAAACTTTAGGTAATACTGGAGTATCTTCAAATATGATGAAAAAATTTACTAATTTTAATTAAAAGATCCAATATCTAATTTTATTAGATCCAATATCGGTTATTCCTCCTAATAGCCTAACCTAATAAAATATATATTAGACAAATATTAATTGTTTATTATTACCCCCTTCAGAATACAAGGATCTTTTTTTGTTAGGAAGGCTTAGTTCCTCCGTTTTTTTGATCTCTTCAGTTACATCCTCATTTAATTCATGATTTAGCTCTGGGTGATAACTTTCTAGTAAAATTGTTGCACAGATTTTTAGAAAGCCCTGACCTCCATCAGCCATTACGTAAATTAAGGAGATTTACTTCTGAAAATTATATTAGTTATTAAAAATTAAATTTTAATGTAAATATAAAACACAATGATACCTTAATGTATACTTTTTCATCAATCTCTCTAGCTATCATCACGGCATCAAAAATATCTTGTGAATCTGCCCAACAAATTCTTTGCTTTGCTTTCTCTTTAGGTTCACCCTTTACATCAAACATATCTTGTGTAACCTGATACAAACTTTTTAAAGATTTAGATTTTTTCTGATGCCTGCTCTCTGTGATAGGAACAAGAACAGCCTTTTTACCGATATTGGATCTAATAAAATTAGTAAATTTTTTCATCATATTTGAAGATACTTTTATAACCTCTTTCACTAATGGCGGGTTGATATACCATGCTGTGATTCATATATAGCTATTACACTGCTATATATATATATTGCAATTATCTCTTCTAGGTCTAGTTTCTTTTATCTATAATGTGTCTTCATAGTTTGGCATTTTAGGCAATTTTCTTTTTTTAATATCTTTGTGTTGCTCATTTAATGTTATTCTGCAGGTGCCACGTATACTAAGAGGATATTTGCTGTTTGCTATGTCAGAATCAAAATTTATATGCATTTTAATTTGTTTTGCTATCTTTTCTGTGATTGTAAAATGCTGAGACTTTTTTTTTGAAATTATTTTTTCCCACATGGTGCACACACTTTTACTCTAGATTCACTCTAGATTTGCTGATTTGCTGATGTATTGAGTATTATATCTTTGATTTGCTGATTTGCTGATGTATTGCTGATTTAAGTATTGTGATTATGTTTATTATGATTTGAGTATTATATCTTAAGTATAATACTCAATACTTATTTTTAAAGTAGTTCATAATTTTCCAAAAAATAAAGATGTTGTCATTTCCGTTTACAAATAAATTTGTTGTCATTTCCGTTTACAATTACTTGATAAAAGCCCAAAATTTTAATTATTTAGTTTAGTATAGTTCTTTGCTATTTAGTAATACAAAATTATTTTAATTAAAAACTAGAAATATACACAAATGATCTTGTTATCTTATCAAGTAATCAAACCAGACATTGATATTTTCAGGAATAAATAGTCGATTTGAAAGTCATTTAAAAATCTTGGATGAGCAGCTAGGATTAAAATTTCAACAGATTTGTGATGTAGAAAAAGAGTTTTTAAAGGATCTGGAAACAGTTTTTATTGACATTTTTATTAATCTTGAATTTGTTGAGGGCCAGTGTGTCTACTTTTAAAAAAGTGTATCTACTTTTAAAAGAGTGTGCAGGAACTTTAATATAAAGTATATTTTTATTTGAAACAATTTAAAGAAAAAGATGGTTAAAAAGAAGTTTTGTAAAACTTCTATTTTTAGCTAAGGGTACATAAGAAATTTATACAAATAAAATATTTCAAATTAAGGTTTAGAAAATTCTTCAAAAATACTTTTTTAATTTTTTTTTTTTATGCTTAACAACTTATTAAATATTATTAACTTAAACATATTAAATAGTGGGTTTAAAAACTGAGGACTTAAAGAGTGTGGAAAACCAAAAAAATAGGAAGAAAGTTATTAAAAACCATAAATATTTAGAGGAAGTTAACATATAAAAAAAATGTTTAATTATGAGGAGATAAAGGTAGATAAAAGACAAACATAAATAAATAGTGGAATGAGTGTGTAACAGACTTAATTCATTCAACATCTTGAAGCATACTAAAAAGATAATAATTTAAAATATAAACTTTTTTTTTATGAGTGAAATAAAAACTATATAAGTTCAGGGTGAAAGTTTAAAAGTTTTTTAACTCTATTATGTCTTCGAGCGTGGTTATATAAATTTACTATTCAGGGGGTTGTTGAGTAAATTTTTTTACCCATTCACTTTTTTTAGGGGTGGATTTATTTATTTTCAAATTTAATTATAAATTTATTATTAGCAATTCATATTGTAAAAGTGAGTTTTCTAAATTAATTTTTGGATTTTAAATAATTAAACTCTTTTACATAAAATTATTTTTTATAAAAAAAAATGCTTTTACTTTAGAACCTGTCCAGTCCCCAAGTTTAAGTTGTTCAGCTAACCAAGAAAATAAAAGTATGAGATGCGACATTGGTATAATAAGCCAGCAAAACTGGATAGGATTCCCTTATAGCTATAATTTGATATACAGAGAAAAGTTGCCAGATGATAATTGTGATAACTCAGAAAGGTTTGAATTTTGTTTTTATACTTGCGTTCTATCTTTAAACTTGCATCACATTTTAAAGAACATTTTAAAAAGTAGCAAAAAATAAAAAGCAAAAAGTATATATACATTATATTTATATTATTTTATTTTATTATTTTATCATATTTTTAAAATAACTAGCTCTTTTTTTTTTCATTTCATTTTTTTTAAATGTACAACTGTAATCAATTTTTTCTTTTTTTAATTTAGCAAATTAAACCTTAACCATTATATTAATGTTGATTATAATCTTATAAAAACAAACCCTGAAAAATTGCATGTGAGTTTTGACACTTCTGATTATCCTTTTTTACAACTATGTATTATTGCTTATGGTACAACTCAAGGCGGGAATGGAATTGGTGTTTCAAATTTTAGTGTTATTAGAACTCAGAGCGCTGGTAACTAGTTGATAAATTATGAATTAATTTTTTTGACTTTAATTTATTATTCCACTGCTAAGCATTAGAGTTTGATTTTCATTAGTTTTAATTATTAGTAAGTACTAAAATGAAACTAATAATATAGAGAAAAAATTGTTATAGTTAAAATTAAATTTGGTTTTATTTAAAATTGAGTTATATTGTTTTATGCAGTATAATTTTTGTAATTTTCAATAAAACATAGTTCATTGCTACATAGTTTTAAAAAACCTATAAATATTAATAGTTAGTATTATGTATAAATATTAAATTAATAAAAATATTATAAATATTTTTATTTATCACAGTCAAAATATTTTTATTCAGTTCAACTAAATGTATTTTATTAACTTTTTTTAAAGCACCTGATATTGCACCTGATGGTTTAAATGCAACTTTCAACAACACTGAAGTTTTATTTGAGTGGCAATCTCTTGAAAATGATATAGATGTTTGGAATGATTTTAAAGCAGGCTCTTACCGTTTAAGCTATGGAATTTTAAAAAGTTTACTAATTACAGTTGATTCTTTTAAGACTGTCAATGTAATCAATAATGAATATGTTTTAAAAAATGCAACCCAATGTCATGTTTACATTGCTTATGTAAATGCCTATTCTATTGCACTTGGTCCTGCAAGTCCTAAAATATGTTTTCTTAGTCCTATTACACGTAAGTGTTTTATTAAATTAATTTTTTTATACTTTGAGTAATCTTAAAACTAATTATATTTTTATTAAATTAAGTTTTATTTTTAAAATTTAAAGAAAAAAATTGCAAAACTTTAGGATTTTATTTTTTAAAATTTTCCATTTTAGGATTATATTTTTTCAATCATTTTTGTTGTGATAAAAACTCTTTCCTTCTAACTGTATAAATAATAACAATTTTTATCAGAAACTCCTTTATATTTGAACCAATCAACATCAGACAATCCTTTATAATTGAACTAATTGATATCAGATAATCCTTTAAACTTCATTAAATTAACTTGATATAAATTCTCATATTGTAATAAAAATCAATTTTTATAAGTTACTGAAATATAATTATAAACTACAATTGTTTCAGGACAATCATAATAAAAATAAAGAGCTTTTCTTAACATTTGTATCAATTGCTAGTAAGAATTAGAATTTAAATAATTTTTTACATTATAACTTTTTAATGGTAATATTTGCAGAACCAGACTGTGTAAATCCTGTTATTAAAGCGTATTATCTTGTTGACCCAAGAACAGCCGTCTTTCTTCCTGATAGTTTTGATCCTACATATTTTCGAGGAGTTAAAAAGTCATGGTTATTTCATGTAAATGTTACAGGAAGTTATGATCCTGGACCTATTGATTTAAATTATCGTAATATAATGTTTAATTTTGAATATTCAATTGAAGACTATGCTAAAAAATCTGCAATATGTGATGATGACAAATTATTGAGATTTCTTAATCAAACTACTAATTATGAATTAACTCTGATGGGATTACATCCTTATACAAGTTATAAAGTTTCAATTCAACCCTGCAATGAATATGGTTGTGGTAACATTTCAAATCCTGTGTTTTTTACAACATACTCTGACAAACCAAGTTGTTCACCCAACTCAATTTACATACAAAATGAACCTGATCTAGCTGTGGTTGTATCATGGAATGTACTAGATAATAGTTGTGCTAACGGAATTTTAGAAAACTACATCCTTAATTGCTTTGGAGAACAATCAGGTCCCCTTGAAAATGTTACAACAGATCTTTCAGTAATGTTTACCAATTTGCAATATTATGAGTCAATTTGTTGTCGAGTTGCAGCAAGTAATATTAATGGAACTGGACCTTATAGTTCTGAAGAATGCATTTTCACTCCTGAAGCTGGTACAATTTGTATTTATTGCTAGTACTTAATAAAGTCCTACTTTTATGACTACAAAAATACTTTTTTATAATAAATATAGTTTTTTTTTTAATTTCCCATTTATTATTTTTGTATTTTAATTTATATATATATATATATATATATATATTTTTTTTTAAGAACCTGATGCTGTTCCAATGTCACTTAACATTGATATGACATCTTTTACTGGACGTTTTACAATACTGCCTCCTGATCGTTATGAGATGAATGGTGTAGTTTTAGGCATTAAAGCAACCATAAAAAACATTTCTTTTGCTAATTCAACTTTTGAAACATCAAGACTGCTGCGTCGATCTTTACCATACTCTGAAGAGTTTGATTTTTATTTTAGTCCCATTGATTTGTACAGTGGTTCAGTAAATATTTTGTTTGAATATTTGCTTCCATCATTTGTGTATTATGTAGAGCTACAATATTTTAACTCAATTGGTTATGGTCCTTGGAGTGATATTTATCAAATTGTTACAGAAGAATATTGTGAGTATTGAAATATATTATTGTATAAATTATGATATTTCTGTTGTTTTTGTAAGTTTTTTGAGTTTTAAACAGAATTTTTGTAAATGTTTTGTAAATGACACGGAAGCTACTTGATGTGGGAGTTATTGGGCTGTAATGTGGGAGTTATTGAGCTGTAATGTGGGAATTATTAGTCTGTAATGTGGGAGTTATTGGGCTGTTTAAAACTTATATATTTTAGCAATTAATTATATATTTCTTTAATTGATTAAATAATTAAATCTGCTTATATATTTCAGCAATCAATTATATATTATTATTATTATAATTATAAATTATTGTATATTTCAGCAATCTATTTATGAATGCTCCACAATCCTGAAAAAAACTTTTATTTTAATGAGTTGCTTTTAAATTTTAAAAATTTTCTTTTCACAAAATTAAAAATCTATTAACATTCTATTTGCTTTTAAAAGTTTTTCATTTTAAAAAAATGTGTTTACTGAAATTATTTTTAAGGTTTTATATAGTTTCAGATGCTTCATGCAGTTTCTAATATTTCATACAGTTTTTGAAACTTTATACTTTTTTAAATACTTTATATAGTTCCTAACAATTTGTATAGTCCCTAACATTTAGTAGCTTGTGTTTTATATGGTTTCTTTTTGTTTTGATATTTCTTAATTTTTCATTTAGTTCCTGCTATTTTGTGTAATTTCTGATCTTTTATATTCCCTCTGTTATTGTATATTGTTTCTTGTATTACACATAGTTCCTGATTATTTTGTATAGTTCTTAATGCTTTGTATACTTCATTATATTTCAAGTTTTTCATGCTATTTTGGGTCTTTATTATACTATTTTGCGAGTTTTTATTTAACTATTTTAAGTTTATTATCTTACTTTAGATAAAGTGTTTTTTATGTAGATCCTGGTGTTTTGTAGACTCTTGGTATTTTATATTATTCATATCACATATATCACATAGTTTTAGATATGTTATGTTGTTCCTATTATAATTTCAGAAATTTTTTATAGTTTCCTATCTTTTATAAGGTTTCTATTATTTGATACATTTCCTAATATTTTGCATAGTTCTTAAAATTATATACAAGTTCAAAATACTTTATAAAATTCCTGATTTTTCATATAATTCATGATCTTATTTTAAATGGCTTCTAATTTGTGATGTAGTTTTTGAAATTTCATCTTTTTTCTGATGTTTTGTATAGTACAACTAAAGGCTGTAGTTCTGGTTTCTGGTGTTTTGTATAGTTCCTAAAGTTGTAGCTAATGTCAGAATCATAATCATTATGATCACCCTTCTTCTGGTAAAATATTATCCAATACAGTTTGTCACATTTTGATGCCTTTTAAATCTGACTTAAAAAACCTTCTAATAGAAAGGTCTCTAAGATGCTGATTCCATTAACAGCTGTAATTTATCAGGCTATTAATAGTGACGTGTTGCACTATAAATAGTCTGATAAATTCTATCCTCCAATTGCCATATGCATTTGCTTTTAAGGTGCTTTTGCTTAAAACCACTTCGCTAAATCATTCTTCTCATTCTTCTTTATCATTCTTCAACTGCATTTTTTTAAAAATTGCCTCAGTCAATTATTATGCTTATAATTTAAAATTATATCTCAGAAGTTATCCTAAAGACTTTTTAAAAATCTTTCATAAAGTGATTAATAATGGCATTTTTAAAAATCTTTCTCTCGCACATGATCCTATTGCCTCACTTAAGAATGAAGCAGAACTACTTGCAAAGATATTTTTCTCTAATTCGTTTGTTGAAACTAATGACTAGATTTCCCTGTCAGTCCAGAGAAACAGAAGATTGACCCACAGTTATTTCTCCATATTACTCCAACTTTAATTGTTAAAGTTGTTTCTCATGTAAACTTTTTTAAAGATCCTGTACCAAAATATTTATTTAAAAGCCTTACAATAGTCTTTTTGAAAACTTTCTATAATCTTCTCTAAACTATTAAATAAGTGTTTAAACTGAATCTAGTTTCCTAACTGCTGGAAATTAGTTCCTGTAGTAAACTCATTGACAGATCCTGTAAATATTCAAAAAAAATCCTTTTACTGTCTTTAAGTAGTATTTTTGTGCACTTTCCTTTTTCAAATGCTTCAAACAGACATCTTGAATGCAATCTTTTAGTGACAACTTGGGGCTCATAATAACTGGTTCATCCAAATAAAAACTTGTCTAGTGCTAATAGTTATTTCAATATTCTTGATCAATAGTAACACTCTGACTGAATCAATAGCAACGCTCTGAATCAATAGCAACACTCTGACTTAATCAATAGCCACACTCTGACTAAATCAAAAGCAACACTGACTGAATCAATAGCAACACTCTGACTAAATCAATAGTAACACTCTGACTGAATCAGTAGCAACACTCTGACTGAATCAATAGCAACACTCTGACTGAATCAATAGCAACACTCTGACTGAATCCTCTACTCTATATCTTGTTAGGTTATCCACTATTGACCTCTTATGGAAACCATACATCCAAATAATTGCAAAGTTAGTATCTCCTAAGGTTGCCTCTTATTATAATGCTCATTATTTTCTTACTCCTTACTCCATTCTCTTACTTTATAAATCGCTTATTTTCTTTTGTATGAAATACTGCTGTCATACTTGGACCGGTACTTCTAATGATCGATTGCTAAGTTTTACTTAGCAATTCATCATTAGAGGTTATTCACATTATATTGTGTTATTCACATACCAAACTATAATGAAAAATGTAATTTTTTAGTTGAATGATTTTAAATTAAAAAATAGAAATAAAAAAATAATATTATTTGCTCAGTTGTAAAGTTAAAACTTGCTAATTAAAAAGTGAAGTAAAATGTGTTAAAAAAAAAATTTAAAAAAATTTCAAATGTTTCAATTAAAAAAAGTTAAACATGCTAATTAAAAAAAGAATGTTGAAAACTTTAATGAGAAAAAATATAATTCAATTTCATTCATCACTTTTTTTTTTTAATTGGTATTTTGAAGTCATTTTTAAGTGATTCTTATATATTAAAACTTGGTTTGTTAAATTAATATTTGCTTGGTTAATTAGATATGCACTAATTTATTTAAAAAAATACTTACTGCATGAACTTAAAAATCTCCAAGAGCAGAAAATAATAAGTCTCACAATAAGTAAAATCTATAACAAGTGAAATTTGAATAATTGATTCTAAAAGTTATATTTTAAAACTGTGTTTGTATCAAGCAAAAAAGTTGTATCAAGCAAAAAAAGCAAAGAATTTATAAAAAAAAAATTGAACAAAATCAAAGTTTTTTTCGCCTGAATGCTTTATATTTTTTTTGTAGAACAAATATTAAATTACATTTTGGATCATTCAAAAAATACTTACAAAATGCATTAAACCTCTAAAAACATTTTGTTCGTTGTTCAACCTGTTTTGCTTGCAAATCCTAGAGGTCTAAAAGGTGACTATTAAATTGTAAAGCATCTTACTGGAATTAAAATATTTATTGGTGATCTAATTGATATTTATTGGTGATCTTGGCAGTTGCTTTATTGTAAAAAACTTTAGGTTTGCTGAAGAAAATAGTAATTTGTTTACCTACTTGCAATAAAAGTACTTAATTAAAGGAAATCATTTGTGTTTAATGAAAGCAATTTAAAATTTAAAGACAATTCTATATGTATGTACAATAATATAGAAAGTTTTCAATAAAAAAGAGAAATTCTCTTTTTTATTGAAAACTTTATTATTGTACATACTATATATATTTTTCTGTTATTTCTCTTCAAAATTAAAACTGCCTACTTTGGTGAACATCTGTCTACTAAAAATTAAATTTAGAATATTTAGGCTAAATTGTTTATTTTCTGCATGTTAACAAGATCAAACAATTTTTAAAAAAAAATACCACATATGTATATATATATATATATATATATATATATATATATATATATATATATATATATATATATATATATATATATATGTATACATATATATATATATATATATATATATATATATATATATATATATATATATATATATATATATATATATATATATATATATATATATATATATTTATATATTTATATATATATATATATATATATATATATATATATATATATATATACATTATTATACATATATTGTTGAGGGTTGTGCAAAGCCGTGTAACTAGCATTGGATAATACTGCGTATCTACAGTACAGTTTTTTTACTGGAGAAGGTCAAAACTTTTATTTTTTTTATTTCAACTTTATTATTTTTTTTAATTTTGGGTTCATTTTAGTATAAAGAGTATTATTCATGTTTTTTGTAATATCAACAATAGATGTTTGATGTCAAAATTATTAATATCCAAATATAAAAGCCAATGCTAGTTACGCGGATTTGAATTATTCCTGACAATATATATATATATATATATATATATATATATATATATATATATATATATATATATATATATATATATATATATATATATATATATGTATATATATATATATTGTGTATTAGGTGATTATGTGAATAAAAAATTATGTATTAGGTGATTATGTGAATTAAAATGGGAGGTCAGTGTTCTATAATAATATAAACTATAGGAATCAATAATATTGTTGTATATAGAAAAAAAATATTGTAATAATGGATAACAGTAAACAACTGAGTTTTGTTTGGATTAAAGTTCACCTCCAAATTGTTACCAAAGAGAGACCATATATAAAATTGGGTACCAGTTCTAAGCTATTAAAAAGTGATGATTTTTAATTGAGACTGGAGTATATGGTTATATTGAATAAATCCCACTTTAAAAGTAAGATTGTTGCAATGATCATCAATAAAAACAAGAAATAAACCATCAATGAAACCTTGCATTACCACAGATGTTACTGGAAATGAAGAAGAGTGATGTTCATTAATGACAACTTTAATGTTGATTTAATAATTCAATAATATTAAAAATATTATTAGATATACCATATGAAAACGACTTATGAAGAAGACCATGCCAGGCTAGGCATGTCATTGAAATTTTTGATATGTCAAGAGCAATAAAATTTTATATATCTTAGTTTATGCTTCCATCTAATGCATGACTTTTTTATCAAGTAAACAAATAAAAATACTTAAAACAATAAATAGTTTTAAGTAAAAAATGATTTAAAAAAAAAGTAACATGAAAAAAGTTATATTATGAGGTTGCTCAAGATTCTTGAACATTAGGTGGTCCCTAAACATGTCAACTTAGGTATCAAAAAAGGTTTTTGAAAATAATTCTTTTTGGAGATATTTAATAAAATGTGATTAAAATGTTATTATAATTTTCGAATTTTTTATGATTTTTTGCTAACATACTTTTAATCAAATTTTTTTTTTTAAGTATTCGGAGTATATTTACAATATACTTATTGATAAACATAGGATACACTTTTTAGTCATGGTGAAGGCAAATTACCTAGGAGAACAAAACTCTGATATAAAACTTTGAAGTTAATTGTTTGTAACATTAAAAAAAACTTATAAACCATTGGTTGCTTCTTAGTTATACATTACAAAATATTTGCTATAATTTGATTATATACAAACAGAGGATTAGTTCAGCTCTAGCTCTATTTTAGCTGTTCAAAAAAGTTAAAATTAAAAAATTTTCAAATTGATAAACACTTTAAATTGATAAAAATAAATTGATATTTGATATGTTTCTGAATTACTATGTTGATTTTTCTATAATTATGTTTTTTTGTAGCTTTGTTAATTTTTGTTCTAGCTTTTTGATATTTTTTTGGTTATGTTTATCCATGACTGTTTTATTTTTTGCTGAAGAAAATTTTTTTCCTGAAGCTACTTTATGCTGAATTATATTATTTTTTAAAGTTTATACTTTTATTTTTAGTGGTAGACTATGTAGTTGCAATAGTTGCCAAAGTTATTATATATTTTTTGAAATTTATTAAATTTAATTTAAAAAATATTTCAGATATTTTTTTTTATTTTTTCTTAAAATCTTATTACTTATCAGTGTAGGTCAGCTAAAATATATATTCAAAATATAACAAATAACAATCCATACTTTTAAAACTAAAAATAACAACCCATAAATGGATGTATGTATACCCTACTACTTCAACAGGACTTATTTTTACTTAATTTCGTTAGATGTACTTTAATCAATGTTTATGAATGTAATAAAATATAACTTTTAAATAAAAGATCAGACCTCCATACCATAATAAAAATTATTTACTGCATATGGAGTGTTTGCCCTTTACTAAATAAATAAATTTTTAAAATTATAAAATTTCAATTTGGTAAGTTAGGTAAAAAAAAAGTTTGAATCAACTCTTGTATTTTTTTCTTCATTATACTTTTATGTTGTTTATAATTTAATTTAGATTCAGAGGCACCAAGTTTAATATCATATTCAAGTGACAATGTAAGTATCATAACAGTTAACTGGAGCAGTGTTCCCATTGAAAAGAGTAATGGAATAATATCTCGATATATAATTTGTCGTAGTCAGATATTAGGCAGTAACATCATTGGAAACGAAGTATGCTTCAACCACACAAATCTTTTAGCCCTTGAGTTTAACTTAACTGGTCTAGATCGTGGAAGCACTCACAATGTTAGTGTTGCTGCATGCAACAAGGCAGGATGTGGAAAGAAGATCTATATTCTTGCGAGTGCTATGGGATTCAGTACGTGTTTGTATTTTTTCTAACTACTAGTTATCTTGGTTAATTACAGTTTAAATTAACTACGGTTAGTTAAATTTTTTTATTATTGATGTTTAATTTTAGCTGATGGGCAATGGTTAGAGTGGTCAAAATGGGGGGCATGTAGTAAGACATGTGATCAAGGTCAGATGATAAGAACACGAGTTTGCACACCTCATACTGAGGGTGGTTATGACTGCCCTGGGAGTAACTTGGACTTCGCATCTTGTCAATTGGCAAGATGCTCAGGTAAAATAATTTACAACTATTAAAATAATTATAAATTGTATTTGAATTTATAATTATAATTAAAAAATTTTTAACATGTATTTTATGTTTTGATTAAGGCTTTGTTTTGGGAAGTGAAGGTCAAACAAACTGTACAGCTGTATGTGCTCAGAACAATTATATATGTTCACCTTTTTATTTAAAATCATATAATGATGCATCTCTTTTTCTGGATGCAGTTATACCAATTAAATGTCAAATTAATTTGGCTAACAAAGTCTACAGCTCTGATTTAGATCCTAGTTTTGATAATAGAACAGGTGTTTGTCATGGTTACATTAACATTCCAGATGAAGTTCCTTGTGAGAGTAAAAGTGCCTTTAATCAACCAAAAATGCACAGATTGTGCAACTGTATCAGTCCAGGTAATATTTTGTATGTAATATATTCACTGGATGTGTTCAAATTCAATAAAATGTTCATTAGATGAATTGTTAGATAAAAAATTGATACTTGTGTGTAACATCTATTTCTTACACAGTTGTTAATTTATTATATGTTTTAGTTGTCATTGAATAATTGATGTTAAAGATTTATTTATTATTTTTCTTTTCTTGCACTTTAATTGTGCTATGATAACATGTTTGAAAACAAAAAATATTTACGTAAAAATTTTATAATTTATTTATTTGACTCATTTAATTAATTTTTTTTATTTGAACAATAAAAGTATTATGTTTTTATGTAAAATAAATTTTAAATCTTTTTAGATGATTATGGGTTTACAAAATGGGCTCATTGGAGTTTTTGCTCAGAGACTTGTGGAAACACTAGTGTACAAGTTAGAAAGAGGAATTGTCTAGGAACTTGTACTGGAAACTCGAAAGAAACTCGTGTGTGTGATGTTCCATTATGTCCAGGTAATTTTTTTATAATACATACCAATTTATAAGTTTACAATACTATATCAATGTTTTATACCAGATAGAAAGAAATCTCAGTAATACTGATTATTATACCATTATAAGTTAAAATAAAAAATGGTTTAAATAAATTTTAAATTGAAGTTAAAGTGTAAATATTTTAATTTTGAAGATTTTATCATTCACTAAATTAATAAATGATGTTTTGTACATATATTTATGAGTTTGGTTTTTTTTACTACTACAATATTATTGTACAATAAAAAATTGTATTTTATAAGTATAGTAGAAAATTGTATTTTATTAGTATATATTATACTAATACAATATAATATATTTTTTACTAATGGTGCTTATAAAGTAGAGCATTAGGATTTTGTTGCTTAAAACCATAAAACAAAAACATAGGATAAAATAAAGTTTTATTTTTTTTAAGAACAGCAAATCTTGCATCTTGGATTTCATTAAATTTTATTATTGGTGTAGTAAAAATAAATGTCTGAAATGCTGTTTGATCCCCTGCAGGCTATTTTGTATCTTGTTAAAACTGCCATTATTTACTTCAATTAATCAGCATAATGTTTGCTGATAGTGCAATTTTTTAGTGTCTCTATATAGGCTTATTGGTTAATTTTGGCTTATATAGGCCTACACTGATCCATTAAAATTATAGCATCCCTAAATACTAACACTTTCTGTGCTACCTTTTAACCTTGGTACAACAAAGAAATTACTATACTTTAAATTAAAATATTTTACTTATTTTTTTTCTATTTACTTTTTAAAGTTAGTTATATCAGTTAAATCAAATAAATAGTTTTTTTCTAAAACATTTTTCAATTTTTTGTATGTTTTTGATAAAAGTAAACTATTAAAAAAAAGACAATACAAGTAAACCTGTTAGTGACATATAAAGAAACATACAAGTAAACCTGTTAGTGATATATAAAGAAACCAGACTCAAGTTTTAAAGCAAAAGTGATTTTAAATAAAAAATTTTGAAAAAAAAATTTTTTAATTGATACTGAGCTTTTTATAAAATATTAATGATTATTTGTAAATTTTTTTTAATTAGATTTTTATGTGAAATAAATATATTTTCTGCATTTAAATTTCTGAATTAGTTTGTTCTTCTGCTATTAGTTGATGGAGAATGGGGAAGTTGGGGAAATTATTCTGAATGCAATACCACTTGTGGGTATGGCTATCAAATTCGAACTAGAGATTGTAACAATCCATCCACAGTTGGAAGTGGTACACCATGTCAAGGAATTCAAAAAGATGAAAAACCAGAGTGTAATGCATTTCCATGCCCAGGTATGATTAGCGTCATTAATTTTTCTTCTAAACAATTGAAAAAAGTTTTTTATACTTAACTATATTCTTTAAATTAAAGTATTATGACTTTTTAAGTATTATGACTTTTTTTTTTTTTTGTAAAATAATCAATTTCCTGTGTCAAAAATCATTGAACTTTTGCTAAAAAATAATGAAAATGGGTTTTATTCTGATTAATTTCTAAAAAATGTCACCCATGACATGAATTTCTAAAAAATGTCACCCATGACATGAATTTCTAAAAAATGTCACCCATGACATGAGTTTCTAAAAAATGTCACCCATGACATGAATTTCTAAAAAATTTCATCCATGACATGAATTTCTAAAAAATGTCACCCGTGACATGAATTTCTAAAAAATGTCATCCGTGACATGAATTTCTAAAAAATGTCACCCATGACATGAATTTCTAAAAAATGTCACCCATGACATGAATTTTTTAAAATGGTGTATAAGTAGTATTTGCAGTTGCATGATGATTTTCTGAAGCCTAGAATTTTCTTGAATCTTATGGAACTTTCTAGAATTTTTGAGACTGCTCAGGATTTTTTTAGAAATCTCTGCAATTTTTCAGAATATTCTGGATTCTTCTAAAAATTTATGGAAATTAGCAAGAATTAGACTGTATAAGCTCCCTGATTGAGCAACACTAATAATTATATATGCATTTGTATTCACCAGATGGCAGTCAAATAATATAGAATTACTGTAGCACTTATATTTATTATTATTGTCTTTCAAAAATAAAGTATTATCTTCAATCATAATGTTCTATAAGAAAAGTGCTTCCTCTACTACAAGAAACAAGATGATTTGGATCTTGTATGGTTTTATGAGTCACATAGAAAAAGAAGAACTGTTCCACTAGATCAATCACTCAAAGATAACAGCAGAATACCACTTGAAATCCGAATTGTTGGTTGCTATCTGTTCCTAGATAAATTCATCAAAAGGAAACAAGAATACATAAAGCAAATTAAGGAAGAAGTAACAAGTTTATGGCAAAACAAATTAAATTTTTCACATTTATCAATTCATGTTGTACAGGCAAAACTGGATCAAGTGCTGAAGACATTCAATAAATGTGTGAAACAAAGAAAATAGAATCCATCAGATGAAATTTTTGACATCACAAAAAAAGATACTGAATGCCTCTGCAGTGAGGACAAAAGAATGTATTATTTTTAGATTAAAAGCAAAGAACAAGTTGGGTATACAACTGGGAAGGCTGCTTGTTCAAAAACTATCCATTTAAAAAAAAAATGTTCTTTAAGCCTGCTTCAACAATAGTAGCAGCAACAGCAACAATGTCAATTTTCAAATCCCTGCCTTGGTCAGAATTTCAAGAGTTTGAAGATTCAGTAGAACAGTCCACAAGTGCTAGGAACAATTACAGAAAACAAAATGGCAACCAAATTAATAATATTTTTATTAATAATATTTCATTTAACTTGGGTTGTTCTTTTTTTTAAAGAATCTAGAGTATTTCCTTAAGTGAAGTTTTAGAAATTACCTAAATTAAATAATGCAAGATGGAATTCACGAATAATAATATCTCTTTTAACATTTATTCTTTAAGCCTTCAACTTAGTGAAAAAGTTTTAGAATGAGGAATCATTGAGACTGGAAATTTCCAGGACAAATCAGTTAGCAGAAAGAGCAATCAAGTGTCTTTAAAATTTTTTGACATTTGTAAAAAGAAAGAAAACTCCCAGCTTAAATTTATTTTGTCTAACAAAACATAAAAATATTATATATAATGTTCTTATGTTATATATATATATATATATATATATATATATATATATATATATATATATATATATATATATATATATATATATATATATATATATATATATATATATATATATATATAGAATAATATGTATATTACGCTTTAATTAAGCTGAATACTAAACAACATTTTTTCAATATATACAATAGTAGCTTTATTGAACTAGTAGAATTGTTATATAGCTTCGTAATTTTACATTTGTTTGTAATAGAAAGTGTTATTTTATTTTTATTTGTGCTATGATGTAACAATAAACTGCTAAATGTTTAAAATCTACACAATAACTCTCAAAGTAAAAAAATTAGAATTAAAAAATAATGACCATAAAATTGTTTGATATTTTATTCATAAGCATATATGATGAATTCGGATTTTTGGTTTGCGGGTGACAAATTTCAATATTAAAAGCAAATTTATGTTTTTTTCGTTACTTTTGTAAAAATATCAGTTTAGATTTGTTTCGGCAAAGTTTTTTGATCAGGGGATTGCCAAAACGAAAGACTGTTTTAATGCCAAATTTACGAAATTCTTTTCTAAAAAGAAAGCTTAATTTTGGAAACAATGGTAAAATAAAAAGATTTTTGGTACCAATTTTTTGAGAACAAGATGGATTTGTGGAGTATTTATAATTTTTAGCAATATCTGAATACTGTTTATAGGAATGTTCATTTTCAGTATAAATCTTAACAAGAAAAATAATTTCATCTTGAATGTTATGTTCTGAACAAATTTTGTATGCTTGAGCTAAAAAGCTTTTAAAAATACCAACTGCAATATTCGGTGAAATAGATGATTTTCGTTTTATAAGTACATTTGTAATCGCATCTTTTAATTTAAAAATTTAATTGGTGTTGAGCATTTTTGTATTTGCATGTATATTGGATAAATTTATCTTGTGAACTTAAAAGTATTAAAAAAGAATTTGCATCATCAATATTAGTAAAATAAGCATGGCTATCATCAACGTAACGTTTATATGATTTTGGTGCAATATTGATGTTCAAAGCCTGTTGAATAGCATTAGATTCAATGTTGTAAATATGCTTCTGACATGACTACCATTATGGATAAACCTATTGGACCAGAGTTTTTTAAATATTC